GGCGTCGAGTAGTTTCTCCCTCTGGTCGGTAGCATAGTTGTGCATCCGAGGAGTGCTTGTCAATGGTGGAACTGCTTGTAGTTGTATCTTGTATCCTCTGCGTAGTATCTGGGATACGTAGTTGTCCTGAAGAATTCCCCAATTCTCCCAGTAGCGTTGTAGACGTCCACCCACTGTCGAAGGTTGTATGGGAACGGCTGGGGGTGCCTCTTCCGGGGTTACCTCTGGGAGCTCCGGTTGGGCGACGAAAAGAATCCTTGCCTCCTCTGGAAGTGCCGTATTTCTTCTATCTAGCTCTCTGTATCCCCGCGAACTTCGACTTGCCAGAGTAGCCTTGAGATGTCAGTCGGATAACACTGGCCAGTGTATCGATGGACTTGATCATCATGACCTCCCTAGACTCCTTCGTAACTTTTTTGGCCACGTCTTCAATTTCCCCAGCGAAGATAGCTGATGCTGACAATGGAGCTCTGTACAAAGTCTTGGTGAACTTCTCACTCCAATTACAGGAAGATAGTAGCCCTTGTCTTCTCAGTAGTGTCAACCCTTCTGATGTAGATGCCAGATGCTCCGATATAAACTGCTGGTCTTTCTTCTGGGTCAGCAATGCTGAGTAGATCATACGATCTTCTTCCGAGGTGGAGTTCCTAAACTTCACAATGAGGGTTTCATTGATGGCTCTTGATCTGGCTAGACCAAAGAAGGTACGCCTGGTAGTTGTGTCTAGTTGTGCTAGCTTCTTATCGTCCACTTTATAAGTGCTGGTACGGGCGTCGTTGATGATTTTGTAGTTCTCGTCTATCTCTGGGGCCTTCATGAAGGGTTCCATATGGTGTAGAGAGAACTTCTTGGCGTTGAACGGTGGTATATTTTGACTCTGGAACTTCGTTGCCTTCCTGAATGCTGTACTGAGGTTTTCTGGTACATTCAACACAGGATCTATGGGTGGAAGGGTGAGCGTATCAAATTCGTCGTTTGACATCATGTACGTGAATGCTTCATTATCCTCTTTAGAAGGTGATGCAAGCTCCAATCCATTAGCCATCCAAGACTTGATCTCTGTATCAGAGAATATGATTCCACCATCATCTTCAGATTTGGATGCATCTTGTTCTGAAGACCGTTGCCACTGTGCTTGCTCCCTGAGTGGAGATCTACATGGTGATCTACGTTGAGACATTCGCGAATGCCTTCGTGGAGATGCGTGTGGAGACCTGCGTGGCGACCTATATGTGCCCGAAGATCTGCGTGGAGATGAACATGAAGATCTTCCTGAAGACCTGTGCGAAGGTGATCGCTCCGTATAAAGATCCTCCCTGGAGTCTCAGACGTATTCCTGCGCCTTTCGTGAAGGTGAAGATTCTCTTCCGTGGGATGTGAAGTACGTTCGCGCATGTCCGTGATGATTGTCCGAGTCTGAGGTCGAGGATGATATGCGATGCTCTGGTGAACGTCTGGTTCTCCTTCGCGAATGCTCCTCTTCTACTGCAGGCTCATCGTTGTCCGGGTTGACAGGTTCTCGGGAAGAATTCGTGGATGACTGTCGAGTATGTGATCCTTCATGAATGTTCCCTTCTTCAGGCAGGCTGCCATCTTCACTCGGATGCGATCTGCAGGCTGCTTGTCCTCCGTGCAGGTTCTTCGTAGATGGTGTCTTCACTGCAGCCTTCTCCTGCGTGAACCTCCGTTCCATCAGGTCCATCATCTGCTGAGTAAACTGCTGCATGAAGATACCCGGGTTTAAGGTCTGCGCTGACAACTGCTTTTGCTGTAAAGATGACGACGCATCTGAGAGTGCTGAGGCTCCTTCCAAGGACTGCCTGTCATCTCTGGTCTCTGAAGTCTGCGTTGATAAGACATCTGACTGCGTTGATATGGCTGCTGACGTCACTGTAGAAGAAGACCTCGTCTTCTTCCTAACTGTTACTGCAGGAATCAGCATGGGTGTTTCATCGTATACGTCTGCTTCGTCCGGTGGGGTGATAGCTGCGGCGAAGGACCTCGTCTTCTTTGCTGCCCCAAGGGACGACTTCGATGAAGTCTTATCTGTCGACAGAGCATCTTCTTCAGAGCAGAAGATGACTTGGTCTTCTTAGACTGCAATGAGGGTAGTTGAGACGATGACAATCTCTTCCTGGACCCGGAGCTGCCATCTGCCACAGTCAACAGCTCCGTAGAAGCCACCGGCAAAACACTGGAATGGTGAATCTCAGCAGGCAATAATACACGGTTATCATCGCATTCACTCTGTTTAGACATGACTTGTAAAAGTTGTCTCGACCTGTCCTTGGCACGTCTAAGAATCGAATATAAATAATTAGTAAATTCAATTTCAGATAAATGCTGACAAAGTTTACAGCGGAGGCTGGAAGAACATGTAGAAGTGCAGTTAGGACATAATGAATGCGGATCAGCAGCCGATAAACGAAACCTGCAACGAATGCAAGATTTCATCAAATGTAAACAAGATGAAACATCATGTCAACAACGTGAATAAACGGAAATTTTGTACAAATTTCAAAGCATATTGCTGGTATATCCTTGCTAAAGACCGTATACAGCTAATTTAGTAATCAAAGCCTAAAATAAAAGGATATAATGCCGTATAGGGGACCCAGGCGCTCTCACAACCGTCCTCTAGGGCGAAGAAGGAGAGAGTGAAGAGCATGTCTGATCATGTGACGGGTTTTGGCGCCAAAGGGCAAAGGGAGGCTACTCGTGGGGTGAGTGATTTTACGTCCGCTTTTTTTAAGGGAGCTTCAAAAGGGGATTCAAGTGTTCCACTATAGTTGGTATAAGGAAGGAGACAAGCAATTAAGCATGAGTCAGGATAAGGAAAAATAGTGTCTTTAATATCTGAGTCAATGTTACATCCGCATGAGTTTGTTTGTTGTTTAATGCCACACACAGCAATATTCCAGCTATATGTCGGAGGTCACTAAATAATCGAGTCTGGACCAGACAATCCAATGATCAACAGCATAAAGATCGATTTATGCAGTTGGGATATGATGACATGAGCCTGACCACCTGATGCACTTAGTCACCTCATGCGACAAATATGGGTTGCTGAAGACCAATTCTAACCCTGGTCTAAGTTCTGCATGAAGGATATTGTGGTGGACTGACAAGCTGAGTTATTCCGACATCCACTGTCAGCAACATCTTATTTGTTATTGTCATTTATCGATCTGTTTCTCTTGAAATGTTTCCTCTAAACTTTGTTGGATATAATTTTCGGCCTACCTTTAGAATACAGCACCACAAAATACATCATAATACCCTTTTACATAATTTTATGTGATTTTGTTCCAAAGCACGTTCTTGAAACAATGCCTTATGACCCTGGCATAGCAACACGGTTGTCTATCACGGTGAGTGCGTATAAGCTCCACTCACTGATGTTTCATGTATACTAGTTATGGCATTGAATAAGCCCAATGATGAGAGTTTACAGTAGTTGTTAACCTGCATATGCACAACTTATGGCAAGCACCAGTTTATGAGAGCACTTTTATTTTAAATATATTATATATTTCGCTTTCAACGTAATTTTTAGGACTAAATGAATTATAAATGGGAACTAATATATATATAGATTTTTTTCATTCAGTAATTTGCATCATTAAACAAGAATGGAGTTTATTTATTTACATTATATATTTCGAAGTGGTAAGTATACATTACATGTCAGCCATTTTCATGCTGCTTCGGTCAGTGTGTTTTCTTCATTAGGATTATTTTCAAGGGTTTAGGTTTAGGTTTAGGTTTATGGTTATGGTTAGGGTTAATGTTAGGGTTAGGGTTAGAATCCAATATGGTAGGTATAGATGTCCGGTGTAATGCATGTGTTAACATTTGGGAGCCTACATTTCCTCAGCAGTGATTCGAAGGCTAACTCACCCTCATGGCATAACCAGACATGCTCATGCCTCCTTCATTCCTTAGTGCGATCCACATTATCCTTACAGAGTTCCCTACAACACTTTTCTGTCACAAAATCACCAGATGATTTTTTTTAAAAGCATGTCATTCATGTATACCGTGACATCTGACACCAGATGTCAACAGCCGCTGTTTTCAGTTCGCGCCCTATCGGCTCATTCCACACCACACGGTATCTTGTAGATTACGGAATGGGACGAGTGTGCGAAATGGCATCGGGACCATTCGTCAATTTTCCGTAGATTCAAATCACGAGACACCAAGGATACCCGTAACCTTCATAATTCTCTGTGACATATTCGACTATTTCCGATAATTTCCATAACCTCTCAGGAATGACTAGATAAATTTGCACATCGTGCAACAGTGCAGACATAGCTCACTCAGTTAGCTGTCGGGCTAACAATCCAAAGGTCGTGAGTTCGACGGATTCTCACAAACTGGTTGCCTGTCTCAGTCACATGTGGCCTACGGCAGAGAACATCCTCATGAGATGTTGTGGTGCTGAATTCTAAAGGTGCTCCTAATTTTTATTATGGTCATTATGGATTTGTGTCAGTGAATGTAAAAGGAATAATTTACCAGTAACTATATATGTTTGCAGTACATTAAAGACTGATGCTCGTTTATTTATCCTTACACAACTGTCTGATATCTCCACATTATTTACCTTTCAAAACCTGTTTACACCAAAAAGTCCAATAATAGTCCAATAAATCAAATAATTATTTTTGGGGAAAAACTGAAATCTGAATTCACAGTAATTTCACATTAAACAAAAACCTCAGAGAGGTACTCTGTTTTAAAACTGTCCCTCGGAGGTGGTTCCTAAGGATACTTATGGCGGAGTATGAATTATTTCTCAATGCATGATTTTAACAACGAAATCTGGGTCTAGTGCAATCCAATCAGCATGATGTAGGCCTATAAATGAGATTAGAAATGCATCGTCTGCCACCGTTGCGCACCATTTTATAAAAGAAACAAATAAAAGATGGTGTTCATACAATTGAAGCAGTACTTTTTCAGTTTTACAGGTCAAACTATATAATTACCTAGCTGTTGTCAGCCATCATCACGACTTATTTCTAAATGTGTGCATTTCATTGACAGATTTTGGATGGATCACTCCTCTTCACTTCCTGTTTATTCCTTCACGCACTGAATTGTCAGAACCAATGAAATGATTTTACGTAGGAATTACAAATGATAACTTACTGTGTTAAACGGTGAATTTAATTATTGAACCCTTTAGATAGAATGAAATCTGTACATATATAAGTAGTGCACCTTTAAAGAGTTTTTTGTTAAATACAATAACTTCCCATTTCGTTTTAACCAATCGTCTGACCTCGAAGCAATTAGTTCGGGTCTATGCAAACAAATATGGAGGTTTTCATGCTGTGAAATAGTGATTGCATTTGTTGACTGAAAACAAAAACAACGTCAATATATGTTGTTTTTGAACGATGACAATTAAATTAACATGCTGGCACATGTTGGGATTTTGTTTTTCCTAACCCTTTTGTGTGTTGGGGCTGGTGGAAATGTCAGTCAGGTGAGTAAGTCATGCCGTGTAGCTGTTATTGATACTGAAAGGATATATAATGCATGTGAGTGGAGCAGAAGAAAAGTCAGATATTTGTATGTTTTAAGGTCTAGGGTCTACCGAATGGCCACCCAGTCTCTCCTTCACAGGTGATAGAACAGACAGTAAATTTCTAGATGGTAAAGAGGACTAACCATTCGTGATTACGAAGTGTTTCACAGTATGACTATCACTTGGTAAGAGATCCGAGTCGGTGTTCTGTTCCATGTACACACGTGATAAAAAAAATATTTATCAATTAAAAAAAATAATGTTACCAGACCTCATATTAAGTTAAGTCACAATTAAGTTATCTTGCTGAGGACACAAAAAGTAAAAATTTGCAAGACATATCCCAGTGTCAGTTGTTTTTGTTGATGTAAGACAAAAACGTAATTTTTATGTTTAATATCATTTAAAGTTTTTATTTTGTTAACCTTGATTGATAAATGTTCATCTATTTCACACAAACATACTAAATCTTTCCTACAAAAATAGCGTTGATGACATCCCAGCGGCGAAACCGTTTCCGCTCTCATTCTCAACATCCAGGGATTTTGTATGGGTTTTCGACGATCAGCCATACTTTTCGCTCCTCACTGCGAGGAGGTGTTGTGATAACGTGGCTTCCTATAAATTTTTATTGCCTGTCACAAGCAGACGACTGATCTTACAGAATTTTCGCTTGCTATTTCTTGTTATATAGACAGTTGATTTTGCATCTGAAGTGGTATTAACAATCACGGGTAAATAATTTTGATGTTTGTTTGCTTTTTATATAAATTAACTTCCGGATTTCAATCGTCAATAAAAGTTCTCACGACAGCCACTGGTCATCTGCCCTACCGATGAAATTGCTCGTGCACTCCGATCACGCACGTACTCCCCCAATATAGCATGAGCAGTGCAATCGTCGAAATCACCAGAACGTCAAATTCAGCTCGTTTGGGGATATCTGTTGAGCAGACAATTGGACTGTTATCATGTTTATCATCTCTGAAAGATCTCCTGGAGGGGATGTCGTGTTTATCACCATGATTACTGTTTTCTTTTTCCCTTTGGATACCCAGATGATGTATCAGAAATCTTGATTAGTTCCTGACTCTGCAGCAGCTGTAGCGATATGTAACAGATCATTACCTGTGTATCATTACATATCGTATCATTTTCTTGCTGTGTCATTTCACTCTTAATGTCCACTCTGTTTTCAGTATGTAAAATGATTTAGTAAACAATGAGCAGTCAATGAACATATCATCGGCTAATCCTTTGTACAAAGAATGTTGTTTTTACTCGGATCACCCAGATATCTGTTGATTCCATCTGATTGAGCAAACCTACGTATACATTAATACAAACACTTTTGCAAAATACCTGTGATTAATCAGTCAGTGTATATTCAGTTAATCCTTAGATAAATGTTATTTTTTGTTGTAACTCCCTTCCTGTGTCGCCGTGGGCATATTAAATAACATGTAATACATTTATCACATCAGACGTGGATTTATCATGTTTTTAACGTAAAATATAAGCCAGTCTGAGATTGAATACTCCAAATGGGAACTATTGTCAGGTAATTCAAGTGGTGGTAACACTAATTATACCTGTAATGAATTCAAATAAGTGAGCATCAAGTGATTAATGACAAATTCACAGGTGTATGGTTATACCCTGAAATGAGTAGTAATTGTTGTCTCATATGCAACTGTTGCCTGATGCATAAGGGCAGTGTATGAAATAGTGTCTGCCCGGCGACCTGCAGCTTGCTAATTATATGACGGGCATACAACTTTACTTTATAGCCAGCCCTTAGTGCTTAAACATTTATGTATATTTGACCATGTCATTGACTACGGGGAAATATTTCGAAAATAATTTACAATTGTGGTAGCTAGATGACATCTGTATAGTTCAGGATCAATCAAACCATAACTTCCACAGATCAGCCTACCCATTTATCTAACACTAAATGTGATTGGTCTAGAGAATGCTTTCAGCCAATGAACAATGTTGTTCTTTTCTAATAGTATGTAACAATCACACATCTTCGAATATTTCTGTGAGCAACATTGCCTGCCGTTAAATTGCTTTTGCACGTGTTATGGTTTACCTCACTACAAGTAATTCATTAATTGCATTATTTTAACACCTTATCTAAGTTTCCTATTTTTAATACAGGGCTGGTTACATGTTTATAGGGCCAGCAACATGTTTCAGTTATCAGCCCTGTGGGCTTCCTGTCTTTTTTAGGAGTTTCATACACTGATAAGGGTTGTTACTGTTTTTATCTATGAACTGAATTTTATATTTGGTGTATACTTATTATAAGTACATACTTGTCTGTATTTATTTCCTTTAATGTTTTTGTTTTTTGTTACGCCCTGCCCAAGTGAACATTTCATGGGGTGTGGAAATGCGGTCTGTCCACCAGACATTCGTACCTATTTGTGTCATTCTGGCAAGCCTGATGGTGACTCGTACCCCTCTCGTGGCCATGTTCACGACTGGGTCTTGTCTAAGCGCAAATGGGCACGGAGATGAAAATAGTCTAGTACTATTTCCAAGGAAAGATAACTCTGAATTTCCGAACATGGATACTCCTAGAATATCCCATATCCTGTGGGCAAAACAGCTATACAGTCATTCCTTTCGTAAAGATATTTCAGTGTTGAAAGTTGCTGATCCTTTAGCCCGAAGTTTATGTTTAAATTGTGCTTTGCATAGTTTAGCGGGGTTTCTGCCATTTTGCAAGTTCGACTGTGCCACCATTTTCATGCTTCGAAATGCGTTTTACTATGCACAATTTGATTGGTTTGCTACGATTCTTGGCAATAATGGCATACTATACAGGTACAAGTCTTCTTATAGGTCACGGAAAGAAGCGAGTAGTTACGAATGTCCATCAGATTTCTTACTGGAGCATGCCTGATAAACCATTCATTAGTTGTTCGTGCAAATTTGTATATATATCAGGCATGCACTAAACACGTAAACTGGTGCTTTGTACTATTCAGGAATCAAACAAAAACTTAGGGGGCTTCAAACAAGGGAGCATAACTTATTAATAAATGTTTTTCATTTCTTTATAGCAGGTAAGTGCTAAACAGATGGGGTTTTTTAGTGAGGTGTTTTTACAGATTTTGCATTAACAAGTTGAAATAAGGTTCAGATGAGAGTTTCATTTAGCATTTTTGCAAGTTTTAACCACAAACATGTTTTTGTTGTAGTGAAGTATATGACATACATTGTTTGATCTATGCACATACAGTAGTCTACAGTTACAACAAACGCATAGGAACTACAAACTTTAGTTTGTTATAGCTATAGTTCCTTGGACGCATTTCACCAAAAATACATGTATACAGAGAATGGCCATGACGAAAATAACAGATTGTTATATCTGTCAGTTTGTTACTTATGTAACAGCCAAATTGATGACTTTTTCTTTTTGTTCAGTTTAAGTCCAATAATTGGCAGTAACCATATGCAGTGCAAATATTGGTCTATTGACATAATATTCTTACCTGACATTAAATATCAAGGTTTAAACACAGAAATGGAATATAAATCAGTCTTAGACATCTTATCACCGATGCTTTCAGAAAACCAAAATTTTTTTTTCTGTGCAAATACTTTTTCTATCCAACTATAACCCTCAGGGTTATTGGTTGGAGGTGCAAACGTCTCCAACCTTATATTATAATCAGGTTGAATTTTCTCTCAGGTGAAATTCCTCTCTCTATATACACTTGGAATAATCAAAATAACTTTCAGCCAATGATACTTAGTCTCTTTGCATTTTGGCAATTCCAAATTACCAATGGGCATAGCTGTAGCAAATTAGGAGCCATGTGACTATGTGGTTAATCCAAAATAATTGCTCCGCTTTAATGCGGAAATTGAGTTTCTATAAATCTCTAATTTAAACACATTCTGTGTTTTTACTGATCAAAAAAAGTTAATAAACTGATACACTTTCAATTCAAATCAATTGTACACATAATAGAGCACACTTGTACTAGTTCAGTGCATTATTCGGAAAATCCATTCCATCTTAGTAGCACACATTAGGTTTCCTACACATGTGTTACTATTTTAGGGAGGGAATCCCTGACACATCAGGTCACGTGATTCAAAATGACATGCGAGTGATCGACTGAGAAGTTTGATGGCTTGCAAATATTTACCTCTGGATATTTTAATAACGAAAATAGGGCGCACTTGTAAGTATAAGTACAGAGAAGTCATTCATATAACTTTTTCATGCGTAATAATCTTAACGGGTGCGTAAAAGTGCAACAAAGGATTTCCTCCATTGCGGCCTAAAGAGGTGCTTCATAGCAGTCGTATGTGTGAGCGCTAGGCATTTTAGCTAAGACATGGGTAGACATAACAAAGACCTTTGATATGTTAAATGACCACTGAAACTCATGTGGGAATGGGTGAAAATGAACTGCGCCTCCCACCCGCCCCTTTCCTAAAATGCTGTGTCCACCCCTGTATACTGGAGATGAGAGTTCCATATTTGCGATGTGAGTACCGATCTCTAATAGAAGCAACTCTCTAATAGACAGAGGTATGGTCATCATGATGCTCTTGAAATCCGCTTGACCCCCCAAATCATCCCAGGTCCGTCTCACTAAATGTCTTAATTTACTCATGTACCTCCAATGTTGCCTTTTTAAAGGTCTTTTCTTGTTGTTCTTTTGTTTGTCTGTATGTACTAGACAATCTGTACCCACAGAGATCTGTATCTTGTATATTTTGGAGGACTCACACACAAATGTTCAATAACCTGCATCCACCTATATCTATTCAGCTTGACAATTTAGCCTATTTACAAATACAAAATACAAATTGTATGATTTTAAACAATATTCACTTCTCTTGTTATTTGTTGCAATGACCTGGAAATGATTTTGATGCTATGATGAGACACTGATGATTTTTGCTTTTATCAACGAAAGTGTTGATATATTTGATATCAGAAGACACGAGGGTGAGATTCTATTTATCATCTGATCATGAGGGAATATAGATAAATTGGAACACGATAAAATTTGGAAAAGTAGTCAAATCACTTCTGAAATATATCAGGTGTATCTCAAGACAGCGAATAAACTGTTCAATTTCAAATTGCTAATGATTGCTATGGAGGTGTCTAAAAAAGGTTGGGGAAATCATTTTCCAATACCAACTCATGACAAATGCAACAAATTTGGAAATAAGTGTGTACTGATATTCCAGATATGTACATGTATAATCAAGATCAGTCATTGAGATTTGTGTATAGGTCAGTGTGTACAAATTTCCTTGAGTACAGATTTTCTGGTATCACCTTCAGAATGCACCATTGCCTTTGTGAAGACAGAATAGTTGTAATGTCTTGCAATGCCCAAATCTATATGACAAGTTTTGAGGTAATTTTCATCTGAATAGACCATATTGTTGTGCCTGGTATGAACTATTCCTGTACAGCTGACAGTTGAAGCTATATTTCAGCCCAACCCACTGACAGTTCAAGATTCCATCATCTTTGTGTCTACCCTGAGTGGAACGTTCTATGCTGTCAGCAAGAATACTGGGAACACGCTGTGGTCTCTGCAGGAAGGTGAGATGCTTTCATAGCATTGCTAGTTCCCTTCCAGGAAGAGAAGCAAACTTGAGATTTACAGATTCATAACTGTTATTTGTGTTGTACACTTATTTGAATGCATGATAATGTGTTCAGCCTATGATTGTGCCCATCTACATCATGAACTTATCCATTGTGATTAGGCAATTCCCCACATGGGTATGATGTGTGAGGTCCATTTCTGGTGTCATGATATTGCTGGAATATTTTTAAAAACTGTAAAACCAAACTCGCTGACTCTCATAGATTAGGGGGCGGTGGGTCAGCCTAGTGGTTAAAGAGTCCGCTCGTCACACCGAAGGCTCGGGTTCGATTCCCCACATGGGTACAATGTGCGAAACCCATTTCTGGTGTCCCCCCACTGTGATATTGATGGAATATTGCTAAAAGTGGCGTAAAACTAAGCTCACTCACTCACTCATAGATTAGGATAAGTACACAGCAATCTAAAGCTTGTTGTAACAATGCAAGAGGTGACTACATTGTCTGGGGTGAGTCTCATACCAAGAAGGTGCATGTTATTGTTCAGAAGTTCAGTCACTGCTTTTGCAGGGCTCTGTTTCACAAGGTATTGGTGCTAAGGTGGTCTAATACCCATGCATGAACATATGCTCTTGGTTATCAGAGTGCCAGGATTGCTTTGAAGAGCAAGGACCGGTGTTTGATGTTGAAGCAGTGTCAGTGTTCTATCAGTTAGTTGTTTTTTTTATGAATGTCTGAGTTCTATTATTGGCAGTCTTTTATCAATCCCTCTCTTGTCTCTTATAAAATGGATTGTTATCCTCTATGTCTCTTATAAAACTCTTGATTGTTAATATATTTCAGATCCAGTGATAAAAGTTCCCTTTGATTTTGCTTCTGGGTAAGTATTAATGATTACAGATTACAATGTACATAACATTATTGAATTGTCCATTGTCCAAGGTATCTATGTAGTTAATACTGTAAACGTGTAGTTTAAGTAATGTGTTTTTATACTAGATATTCTAATGTTGTGTTGCAATAGGCCAAGTTTCCTGCCTGACCCTAAAGATGGGAGTCTGTATGCAATCAGCTCTGGCAGGGAGGGCATTAAGAAACTGCCATTTACCATTCCCGAACTTGTCACAGCATCTCCTTGTAAAAGCACAGAAGGCATTCTGTATACAGGTGAGTTGAACTTGTCACAGTATCTCCTTGTAAAAGCACAGAAGGCATTCTGTATACAGGTGAGTTGAACTTGTCACAGTATCTCCTTGTAAAAGCACAGAAGGCATTCTGTATACAGGTGAGTTGAACTTGTCACAGTATCTCCTTGTAAAAGCACAGAAGGCATTCTGTATACAGGTGAGTTGAACTTGTCACAGTATCTCCTTGTAAAAGCACAGAAGGCATTCTGTATACAGGTGAGTTGAACTTGTCACAGTATCTCCTTGTAAAAGCACAGAAGGCATTCTGTATACAGGTGAGTTGAACTTGTCACAGTATCTCCTTGTAAAAGCACAGAAGGCATTCTGTATACAGGTGAGTTGAACTTGTCACAGTATCTCCTTGTAAAAGCACAGAAGGCATTCTGTATACAGGTGAGTTGAACTTGTCACAGTATCTCCTTGTAAAAGCACAGAAGGCATTCTGTATACAGGTGAGTGGTCCACATGATGTTGTGTCTGCTGGTCTTGGTCTGGATCCAGGGTTCACCCTGATGATGACCTATGTTTTCTCAGTGCTAAAAGCGTTGCTGCCCCGCATCACTGTAGAATTATTGCTCACATTACATGGTGATACTGAAGTAAGCCAGATACAGGTGATGTTCCAGGAGCTCACTCTCTGACTCTATGTACAGGCAACAAGAAAGATGTGTGGATTGCGGTGGACCCGCTCACTGGGGCTAAGATGCAGACACTCTCAACTGATGGCACACAGAAAACATGTCCATCGTCAACTGAGGATCTTTTGTACATCGGACGCACAGGTAGGCCAGAGACAGAAATATGTTCAGTTGCTTACTAGTTGTGAACAAAGCACACCAACTTCTTTTTAATCTGTGACCTCTTCCCCAAATATGTTTCCTTTATTAGACCAATCACAAATACGGTTGGTACATCATATTGTTGGCTGCTTTGTGTAACTGGTACAGCTGTGAAAACCAGATTTGGTCAATACTTTGATGGTGGTAAAGCTTTTGGTGTAACTCCAGTAGAAGAATGTGTAGGGAGCTCTAGGAGGGCTGGACTCATGCTGACAACATGTTGCATGTATTGATGGTGGTAAAGCCTTTGGTGTAACTCCAGTAGAAGAATGTAGGGAGGTCTAGGAGGGCTGGACTCATGCTGACAACATGTTGCATGTATTGATGGTGGTAAAGCCTTTGGTGTAACTCCAGTAGAAGAATGTGTAGGGAGGTCTAGGAGGGCTGGACTCCAGCTGACAACATGTTGCATGTATTGATGGTGGTAAAGCCTTTGGTGTAACTCCAGTAGAAGAATGTGTAGGGAGGTCTAGGAGGGCTGGACTCATGCTGACAACATGTTGCATGTATTGATGGTGGTAAAGCCTTTGGTGTAACTCCAGTAGAAGAATGTGTAGGGAGGTCTAGGAGGGCTGGACTCCAGCTGACAACATGTTGCATGTATTGATGGTGGTAAAGCCTTTGGTGTAACTCCAGTAGAAGAATGTGTAGGGAGCTCTAGGAGGGCTGGACTCATGCTGACAACATGTTGCATGTATTGATGGTGTGTTTCATGTGTATTGCACTGATATCTTCATTTTGGATGAAAGTTCAAGTTCAAACTGATTATCATATTACATAACTTAAAAATGGTTTTATTGTATCACATTCTTACAATACAACGGTGGTTGTTTGAGTTGTTTGTGATGTTATAAGATATGAGTTGAAATAAAGTGGGGATGAATATCAGATAAATGTCTGTGAGACACACAGCTGAGTGAGGTATGTCATCCTCCTCTCCCCCTTTCCGCCCCATCCCCCCTCCCATCCCTGGCCTGAACACCAAGCTGTGCTTGTCCCAGGTTGTATATCATTATATTGCCTCAAGGACTTACGCATCACTTACACCTGAGACGTTTATCATGTATTGTGATCAGCTGGCTGATAAAGATACAGCTGGCTGAAAGTTACAGTGGAGCCTACAGTTATCAGTGGAGTCTTTATCATCTTAATGTGATCAAGGAAGATAAACCAATACAGGAAATGTATAATGATGGGAGAAATATATACCGATCTTGAAAATATACACTCATTATGAGAAATATGTACCAATCTTGAAAATATACACTCATTATGAGAAATATGTACCAATCTTGAAAATATACACTCATTATGAGAAATATATACCCATCTTGAAATAAACACTCATTATGAGAAATATGTACCAATCTTGAATATATACACTCATTATGAGAAATATGTACCAATCTTGAAAATATACACTCATTATGAGACATATATACCCATCTTGAAATATACACTCATTATGAGAAATATGTAATAATAATAATAATAAGTGTTCTTGTATAGCGCACAAATCAAACTGCAAGGCAATTTCTCTAGGCGCTAAAAGATAGAGTGATCTGAAGAAAGGATTAAAGTTCATAAGCTTGTTTAAAAAGGAAAGTTTTCAGTTGGGACTGGAAAGATTCCACGGACGCGGCTTGTCGGATGTGAAGAGGCAGTGAGTTCCAGAAAAGGGGAGCTGTGTAAGAGAACTGTCTATGTCCATATGACTTTAATCTGACCTTGGGGACATTCAACTGACAATTAGAACTTGATCTTAAAAGCCGCGGGTGGGACATATTCACTGAGGAGATCTTTCAGATAGATTGGAGCTTTGTCATGGAGGCACTTGAAAGCTTAGAGTGAGGATTTTATATTCTATTCTCTGTTTCGTGGGCAGCCAATGTAAGCGTATCAGCAATGGTGTAATGTGACTGCGCTTGTTGACTCGGCAAATCAATCGCGCCGCAGAGTTCTGAATCCTCTGGAGCTTGGACAATAGATCATGGCGGATATTTACAAGAAGACTGCAGCAATAATCCAAACGTGAGAGAACAAGTGAACGAACTAGGTGGTGAGCTGCATCAAATGTCAGAATATCACGAATGGAAGCAATATTTCTGAGATGAAAATAGCATGACTTACCAATCTTGAAAATATATATACCTATTCATGGAAATATATACCCACCATGAGGGGCGGTGGCGTAGCCTAGTGGTTATAGTGTGTGCTCGTCACACCAAAAGACCCGGGTTGCATTCCCCACGTGGGCACAATGTGTGAAACCCATTTCTATTGTCCCCCGTCTTGATATTGCTAAAATATTGCTAAAAGTGTCATAAAACTAAACTCACTCACTCACTATACCAACCATGAAATTATATACCTTATCAGGGAAAAAGATGCCGATGTTGAAAATATATACTCAAACAGAAACATATATAGAAGTATGTGCTGATCAGAAAAGTATGTATCAGTGTGCAGACTGCATTATGAACCTTCCTTGCAGGGATTATAAATACTGAAATACAGTTTTATGATAGGCAATTAATCTTCCGTGGGACACACTTGTTGACTGAACGTAATTTGCTAAGCAGATAGGGTCTGACCTGATTTTGGATGACTGCTTCCAGATATGCTGTATCTTTCTCTAAAACACAAATACTTTTATGATAGGCAGTTAGTGAGTCATGGTGTCAGAGTTCATTCTTGGCTGAAACATTGTTGCATGTTCAATTTTCAAATGGCAGAGACTTGAAATACAAGATCCATGATGGCACACTGTGTTTCAACCTGATAAAAAATATAGTAACCTGTCAGGGTGTTAGACTCTGCATCTCTGAAAATGAATACTTTTGATAGGAAAAAGGAAATACAGGAGCCCCAGTGAGATTGAAAGTGTAAACTTGCTTCTTTTAGCTCTATAGAATTACAGTTATGGCTGAGTGGAGACTATCAGGGTTTTTGTTGAGTGTCCTCAGTACTCAAGATACTGTTAGTTATCCTGTTAGTTATCCTGACTCTCTAAGATACTGTTAGTTATCCTGACCCTCTAAGATACTGTTAGTTATCCTGACTCTCTAAGATACTGTTAGTTATCCTGACTCTCTAAGATACTGTTAGTTATCCTGACCCTCTAAGATACTGTTAGTTATCCTGACTCTCTAAGATACTGCTAGTTATCCTGACTCTCTAAGATACTGTTAGTTATCCTGACCCTCTAAGATACTGTTAGTTATCCTGACCCTCTAAGATACTGTTAGTTATCCTGACCCTCTAAGATACTGTTAGTTATCCTGACCCTCTAAGATACTGTTAGTTATCCTGACTCTCTAAGATACTGCTAGTTATCCTGACTCTCTAAGATACTGTTAGTTATCCTGACCCTCTAAGATACTGTTAGTTATCCTGACCCTCTAAGATACTGTTAGTTATCCTGACCCTCTAAGATACTGTTAGTTATCCTGACCCTCTAAGATACTGTTAGTTATCCTGACTCTCTAAGATACTGTTAGTTATCCTGACCCTCTAAGATACTGTTAGTTATCCTGACTCTCTAAGATACTGTTAGTTATCCTGACCTCTAAGATACTGTTAGTTATCCTGACTCTCTAAGATACTGTTAGTTATCCTGACTCTCTAAGATACTGTTAGTTATCCTGACTCTCTAAGATACTGTTAGTTATCCTGACTCTCTAAGATACTGTTAGTTATCCTGACCCTCTAAGATACTGTTAGTTATCCTGACTCTCTAAGATACTGTTAGTTATCCTGACTCTCTAAGATACTGTTAGTTATCCTGACCTCTAAGATACTGTTAGTTATCCTGACCCTCTAAGATACTGTTAGTTATCCTGACTCTCTAAGATACTGTTAGTTATCCTGACCCTCTAAGATACTGTTAGTTATCCTGACTCTCTAAGATACTGTTAGTTATCCTGACCCTCTAAGATACTGTTAGTTATCCTGACTCTCTAAGATACTGTTAGTTATCCTGACTCTCTAAGATACTGTTAGTTATCCTGACTCTCTAAGATACTGTTAGTTATCCTGACTCTCTAAGATACTGTTAGTTATCCTGACTCTCTAAGATACTGTTAGTTATCCTGACTCTCTAAGATACTGTTAGTTATCCTGACCCTCTAAGATACTGTTAGTTATCCTGACCCTCTAAGATACTGTTAGTTATCCTGACTCTCTAAGATACTGTTAGTTATCCTGACTCTCTAAGATACTGTTAGTTATCCTGACTCTAAGATACTGTTAGTTATCCTGACCTCTCTAAGATACTGTTAGTTATCCTGACTCTCTAAGATACTGTTAGTTATCCTGACTCTCTAAGATACTGTTAGTTATCCTGACCCTCTAAGATACTGTTAGTTATCCTGACCCTCTAAGATACTGTTAGTTATCCTGACTCTCTAAGATACTGTTAGTTATCCTGACCTCTCTAAGATACTGTTAGTTATCCTGACTCTCTAAGATACTGTTAGTTATCCTGACTCTCTAAGATACTGTTAGTTATCCTGACCCTCTAAGATACTGTTAGTTATCCTGACCCTCTAAGATACTGTTAGTTATCCTGACTCTCTAAGATACTGTTAGTTATCCTGACTCTCTAAGATACTGTTAGTTATCCTGACTCTCTAAGATACTGTTAGTTATCCTGACCTCTAAGATACTGTTAGTTATCCTGACTCTCTAAGATACTGTTAGTTATCCTGACTCTCTAAGATACTGTTAGTTATCCTGACTCTCTAAGATACTGTTAGTTATCCTGACCCTCTAAGATACTGTTAGTTATCCTGACTCTCTAAGATACTGTTAGTTATCCTGACTCTCTAAGATACTGTTAGTTATCCTGACTCTCTAAGATACTGTTAGTTATCCTGACCCTCTAAGATACTGTTAGTTATCCTGACCTCTAAGATACTGTTAGTTATCCTGACTCTCTAAGA